AATAATAATAATAATAATAATAATAATAATAATAATAATAATAATAATAATAATAATAATAATAATAATAATAATAATAATAATAATAATAATAATAATAATAATAATAATAATAATAATAATAATAATAATAATAATAATAATAATAATAATAATAATAATAATAATAATAATAATAATAATAATAATAATAATAATAATAATAATAATAATAATAATAATAATAATAATAATAATAATAATAATAATAATAATAATAATAATAATAATAATAATAATAATAATAATAATAATAATAATAAATAATAATAATAATAATAATAATAATAATAATAATAATAATAATAATAATAATAATAATAATAATAATAATAATAATAATAATAATAATAATAATAATAATAATAATAATAATAATAATAATAATAATAATAATAATAATAATAATAATAATAATAATAATAATAATAATAATAATAATAACTAATCCCCAAGCAACAATCCCCTACTACAAATACAAACCGGAGAGCGTTATTGAAACGGAAAATTACAAAATATATTGGAACAGAGAAATAATAACTGACTTACCTTTACAACATAACAGACCAGATGTGGTATTTACCGACAAGAATACCAAGCATACTTTCCTCATCGACTTCTCTGTTCCACTCGCCGCCAATCTAAAGAAAAAACACCAAGAAAAAATAAGTAAATATCTACCACTTGCCAATGAAATAAAGGACATGTGGAATCAGGAAAAAGTTACCGTAGTACCAATTATCTTAGGTGCAACAGGAGAAGTACCGCAAACACTTATCGAAAGCCTAAAAAAACTTAATCTAAAAGAACAAACTTACTACCAGCTTCAGAAAATAGTGCTCATTGAAACCAGCGGAATTGTCAGACGCGTACTTAATGAACCCGACAAATGAATACCCAAATAAAGTTAACCAATGTAACACAAAAACTTACCTGTCATCTTGCAGAGAATGCCGATACAGTGTAAAAGCCAAATCCAGATTCGTCTGCGGAACCCATAAATAATAATAATAATAATAATAATAATAATAATAATAATAATAATAATAATAATAATAATAATAATAATAATAATAATAATAATAATAATAATAATAATAATAATAATAATAATAATAATAATAATAATAATAATAATAATAATAATAATAATAATAATAATAATAATAATAATAATAATAAATAATAATAATAATAATAATAATAATAATAATAATAATAATAATAATAATAAATAATAATAATAATAATAATAATAATAATAATAATAATAATAATAATAATAATAATAATAATAATAATAATAATAATAATAATAATAATAATATACAATGATAATGATACCAGTAGTTATAGTGAAGACAGCGATTTTTAAACATAGTTCTGGAACTTTTCATTTTTTTTATTCTTTGATTTTAGGTACCTACTGAAATCTTACTTTTAATGCCGAGAGATTAAAAAAAAATTAATACCATTAATAATATATAGTCCTCCTTGTTATTTATTGGTTAAATTTAATTGGTTCAACGTTAAAGTGCAACAATTTTGTCAGAAGCATAAGGTTTATTTTTATTTTTTGTAAATAATATATCTTTTTCATTCAAAATTTAATTTACGAAGTGTGTATGTACCATTTTTATGCCGTGACCTTTATAGTTTACAAAGTTATTTTGCAAAGTACGCCCTTGTGACGTTATATCCCTACTTTTACTACACTCCACTTTTATTCAGGCTATAGCAGAACGAAAAACGTGGTATCATTGTATAAAGAACTATATAGTAGGATAATCGCCATGTAAAAGTTATTGGAGGCAATCGCGCCCGACATCTATTGGTACAATCAATGAACTAACGATTTTATTTACTGGTTAGATACGCCCTCTACGTCAGATGGGGTCAGATGTTAGAACTTTATAAATGACAATTTAGTCAAATTAATTGTCAGTATATATTTTTTTAGTTATTTAGATTAAATATAAATAAAAATTAGTGATTCTTGTAAAGAATCAATAAATAATAGCATTCCACAAGATATTCGTCTATATTTAGAAATAAACTGAGATTTTAATGAAACTAAAAGCAGTCTGATTATCAGCGTTAAAAAGTAAAACTTTTTCATAAGTCTTCATAACGAAAATTTAGAGTACTTGTCTACGATTCGAAGGATTCTGAGTTCAAACCCCCGAGTGAATACTTTTTTTTTATTATTTAATTTTATTTTCTAAATTGGTAAAACTTAAATTAATTTCAAAACATTAATTTTACGTTAATAACATCTAAATCTTCATGCTCAAATTTCGTCTTTTTGCTATGGCCACTCGGGATCATCAAATTATAATAGAATATTATAAGGTCCGGTAAGTTTATTTAAATCTTTTGACAATGAAACTAAAAATGTGTGTGTCTAAAGGAGAAATATACCGAAAATAACAAGTATTTAAATTTTGCTAATAAATTTGTATTAGGTATGTGTTAAAAGAAAATACATCATTTTGGATTTGAATATACAGTGTGTCGCAAAATGTCTGCACCAAGAAAACGCACAAAATTACATTTTTCTTTAATCTACGTAAAAAAGTGCGAATTAAATTTTTTTTACTGAAAATTTATGGTACCTAACAGGGTTATTCATTATAAATTACCCTCCCTTTATGCTATAATTATTATTGTATAATGTTTACATTGACCGAATTTTGTAAAAATGTCATCAAATGACCATATCAGTGGTGTGAATATTTCACAGGATTTAATATGAATATTTTTTAATAAGGATAGCATAGATATATATATTTTATTCAATTTTCGAAATGACCTTTATTCTTTCCTGATTAATTAAACGTCGAATATCATAGATAATCTATGTCGAATATCTTATAAATATTTACACTTTTTCTTTCTCACTGTAAACTACCTATTTGGATTATTTTATTATCAAACATAATAGTTGTGATTTTCATAGCTTTTACTTTAATAATGTTAACTTTTTCATGTTTACATTATCAACGTTAAATTACTCGAGAACAGACGGTATAAGATAGGGTTATCAATAATATACATTTGTGAAATTAGAAAAAAATATCCCAGAAATTTAATAACATAGAGGGTATCCCATTTAAAAAAGTTTATTTGTGTTGTATTCCGTGAAATCTGAATACGTGTTTTTATGGTATATTTAAAAAAAGTCAGTCATATTCACAAACTTTTATTTAAAGCTTTTTTTGAATATGCAATAGTGGTTATAAAAGGTGTCTTTAATAGTGAATAATCTTGTACATGATCTCAAATAAATTTGTTGAAATTAATTTCATTTGTAAAAATGTCACTTCCGTTTCTCCCGTATTGCTAAAAACAAATTGTGTCCAGGTCCAGGATTTGATGGTGGATAATATTAATTCTAGATACATTTTTCAAGTAACATTGTTCTCCTGTTTTTAGAAATAAAGGTTAATGTTTAGCCAAATTCATATATTTTTTTTGGACACACAGTATGTTTGTATAATATTAAAAACTTCCCCTACTAAATATTTTGGCTCAATCAAAGTAGGTATCTTAAATTGATTATTGTTAGAAAAAGTAGAAATAATATTAAATATAATAAAGAAATTAAAAAAATAATTTAATTTAATAATTTGATTTAAAAATTGAAATTTTGGTTTATATGTATAAAAAATTGTAGATTTCACTGTTTTTTTTTAAGTTCTAATTTGATTTTTTGGGGATGCCACACCCTCCATCTCCCTCTAGGAGATGGTGGTGGTAAGATATTTATACAAAAATGTTGCAAATCATTTCTATTGTAAATATGCCAAAAATAAGATTTTTATGTATTTGTAAATATTTTTAAATGCCAGCCCCCACATCCGAACTATGAAGATTAAAGTCGAAATTTTTTCTAAGATCAAAAAAAATTTGGAAATTTTTTTCAAAAAAATTGGAATTTTGTGTTTTTATGTATAAAAAATTGTAGACTTCAATTGTTTTATTTAAAAAGTTCTAACTTAATTTTTTGGGAATGCCACCCTCACCATATCAGATAGGGGTGGGGAGGGATGAATTTTTTAAAGCGATTTTTATTTTTATGGGATAATACATCGATATACCAAGTTTAGTTTCAATATTTCGACCCTTTCCCCCAAAGCCGAACCCCAACCAATAATCCTTATAGAACCCATTGTGTTTACTTCAATATTAAGAATTCATTTATATTATTTACCAACCATCTCAAGGGTTTTTTTATTACATTATTACGCACCAGATTAAAGAAATAACCTGTTGTTTATAATTACTTATGCTAAGTACTTAGGTATTTAAATTAAAAATACAATTTTTGCAACACTTAAGAAATGTATTATTATTGCTATTATTAATATTATATAATTCATTTTAAATTAATTCGGATAAAACCTGTAAAGGAAACGAAAAACAGAAGCATATTTTCTATTTTATTAATTTCAAAACAGTTATAAATACACAATTTTTTTTGGGAACTCGTCTTTTATTAACAGTAAAATAATTCAGTAATAAAACATAAACACAACTCATTCACAATACCTACTACCCGTAAACGCACTAACGCACAATAACAAACATTAGATAGAAAATAGTCCAAACATTCAATCACGAGTGTATAAAATTTCAACCAAGAGCTAAAAATAGAAATCCATCGATCGGTCTCAGTTATTCTTAAAAATTTCTGCTGGACCCTCAACTCCGCCCACTGCAAAGGAATATCGACTTATCCATATTCACTAGCGCCATCTATTGGTAGTATCCATTTCGCTCCAATGAAACTTCCATAAGGTGAGACTACTATTTAGTTCTTTATACAATGGTGGTATGTACCTACTTTAGCTTGTGCATACCATAACTATTTGGAAAGGTTAAAAATAATATTCATTGGTAGGTACTAAAAAAAATTATAATGAAACATTTTTAAAATTTTAGTAAAAAATTTTATAAATAAGGTGCGTTTAATTTACAGTAAAAATTAATCTTAAAATCAAATCACATCCACTGACACTGACTTAGTATAATTTTTTCATAATAATCTACTTATCACATAAGCGCCTTGTTTTCTGTGTTTGGATACAAAGTGATAAGAAAAGGTAGAGCTGAAATAAAAGAAATATAATTATATATATTTACAAAAATAAAAAATCTGATGTGTCCAACACATGACTTTCCTATCTAGGTATTACAGGCTTTTTCCGGTTATTTTGTACAACCTATTGCAGCATCTCTATAAATTGTTTAGAGGATAAACTAAATATATACATTGTCCACATACATCTACCGCGAAACATTTTTCTATAGATATTCATTGAAAATGAAAATACTGAAAAATTAAAATTTCCTACAATTTTTTCATTACGGTCCATTTTAGAAAAATCATGTATAAACAAAAATTATAGAGATCGATATCGCAAACAACTTTTATTTCAAAAACTTTCATAAAAATCAAAATTTTGCACATTTTGTCAAATTTCATGAATACGGACCATTTCAGGAAATTTTTACATAAAACAAAAATTATAGATAATAATATTAGAAGTAACTTTTATTTGAAGAATTTTTTTCTCCAAACATTAATAACAGATATATTCCATAAAATATAAAAGTGGCCTCCCATAAAGTACCCCCCAGATGTTCCGACTATGTCTAAAATCCAATCATTTCACGTCAGGCCGAAATAAACCTTAAGTTTAAAATTTAATGTTTTTTTTCTTTATCCGTTTTTGAGTTTTCTTCAAAATTCGAAATTTACACATTTTCTCAAATATCTCGAATACGGTCCATTTTAAAAAAATTATGTATAGAATAAAAATTATAGAGAATTATATTATAAACAACTTTTATTTGAACAATTTTTATAAAAAATAATTTTTTTTACATTTTGTCAAATTTCTCGAATACGGACCATTTTAGGAAAATTTTGCATAGAACAAAAATTATAGATAATTATATTAGAAGTAACTTTTATTTGAAGAATTTTCTTCTCCAAACGTAAATAACAAATATATTCCATGAAATATAAAAATGACCACCTATAAAGTACCCCCCCAGATGTTCCGACTCTGCCCAAAATCTAATCAGCTCATTGGACGCTAAAACAAAGCTTAAGTTTAAAATTTGGTGTTTTTCGGTGTATCGGTTCATGAGTTATGCGTTATACAGACACACACACACACAGACACACACACACACAGACACACACACACACAGACACACACACACACACACACAGACATCATCGCGAAAATAGTCAAAACGGATTCAGGGGACCTCAAAACGTAAAAATCCGTCGAAAACTCGAGGTCGAAAAAAATCATGATTCCTATACTTTCCTTATATCTGTATACAGATAGGAAAGTAAAAACATTGATATAAAAATAAATTTATGATATTATTGTAAAACAGAATGTGGTACATCATTCTGTAAGTATATTAATAATATATAAAAGACTGTGAACGGTATGACCAGAAAACCTGAGGCAAAGATTGACATGTGTAAAAATACATTTATTCGAATTTTCGAGGGGGGGGGGGGCATTGCCTTTAGCCATTCCCTTTTTAGCATATTTTTTAGCATATGTTTTAGCATATTTTTTGAATATGCGCCCATAAGTCGTAAGAATTTTGACTTCGGGGGGCCATGGCCCCCATGCCCCCCCCCCCCCCCCCCTCCCCTGGAGCCGCCCTTGTTTCACAATCAATTAGTACAACTTCTTCTGAGAATTTCTTTATTAGATGAATATTTTATACGATATAAAGGAATGTCTTATGAAAAATGCCAGATAAAAATCTTTTCTTCAAAAAAGTGTGTAAAACAAAAGTGATAGACAATTTACGACGCACACGTTTTCGAGATATAAGCGAAAAAATTTCGTCTTAATTCATAGACTTCAAGACTTTTAGTATGTTCACTTCTTAAGCACCCTGAACATGTTTGTGAAGGAATCACTTAAATCCCTGTTCACGCACTCCACACGTCCTTTATTGAGTGGACTATAAATTATAACACCTTTTCAGGAAAGCTGGAATGATTGCTTTGTAAAGCCAAAAGCGTTCGCTTAAATTTATGAAATTTATTTTCTCCATGGCCACTTATAATAACAGAAACAAAACATTCTCGCTCTTGGGATTAAAAGAACATTCTAAAACATTTGCCTCCTATGTATTTTACACGTATTTCACTCTAACTCTAGAGACCAAATGTTTATTATGTAATAGCTACTGGCCAATAGTTGTAAATACCATGCCCGCATCGTAGACAGTCATGAATTTTGTGACTGACACTTCTGCACGACGTATTAGTATTTAGTTTGAATTTGCCTACATAAAGCTAAGCGGCGTTTGTTAGGTCGATTAAATCCCGTTACTTGTGCCCTATCAATACCTGTGTCTAAGTGACCTTTGACCTGTGGAATTTTTCATCTCCATCTGTAGCTACCCGAGTACTTTCGACGCCGTTTCGAGAGTTTGTGGAGTAAACCATAAACAAAAATTTGGCGCTCGAGAACCGCCCGTAACCAGCGCCATTCGTAAGGAACCGTTTTCTCTGTGGCGAGAAAACCTCTTTCAATATATGGCTTCGAGATTTATTTTTCTATTTTATTTTACGTTTTGGTCATACATAAGTGGTAATTATTTCTTTGTTGTTTTTTTTTCTTATAAATATTAATAAAAAATTTAATTGCTTTTCATACCTGCTGTCAACAAACAGCAAAACAGGAATGGAGTTAGACATCCTGCTCCAACAAGAGTGGAAAAGAGCAGATTTGCTGATAATGATCCTACTCTAGCAAACATCAGATGAAACGAAAGAGCAATGGCCCTAAAAATAAACAAACATTAAAAATTAAATTATGTCTTTGTCTAATTAAAGACCACTTTTGTTAGCTAAATGCAAAAATAACTATTTCTGAATTTTTATTTTCCAACTAAAGTGGAAAACTGCATATTTGCTAATAATGATCCTATTGACCTTTCCCATTATTCCACAAGTTCGCAGTACTCATGCGCAAAAAACGCGCGGGACTTTTGAATCTAGTAATTTTTTAAATACTTTCTGTTATCTCTTGCTTATCATTGCCCTACAACTGTTGGGTTGGCTACGTCGATTACCCCACGTGATCCTTACTTTAAACAACTATCATAGATTATATATAGTAGACAGTTAAACTTTTTTTCTAGCCAAATTAGGCATTCCAAACAAATGAATTACCAGTGGGCAGGTTTGGTATATCTAAGGGTGGCGACATATGGTGTATTCTATCTACTTTACGTAAAATCATGAATAATGGATTACATTTAAATATTTTATGTCAAACACAATAAAAATAATATTTAAAAAACCCACCTATACAATTTTTCATAAATTGGCAGGCTTGGCGAGTACTACTTCGAATAAAAATAGTGTCCAAGTTGCAAGACTATGTCGCTACCCCCTTAAATATACAAGAATTTCCCACTGGCACCTATTTTTTGACAGGTCGTTGGAATGCCTAATTTCAAGAAACTTTTTTCTACTAATTTTTAATGTAAATATTATCTGAAAGTTTTAAGTTTGCACTTCTATGACAGCATTTTCTACACAGGCTTTTTTAAAACGTCATCATAGAGGCCTCCATCGCTGCGTAGCAAACTATTTCCATGTTCTACAAGGTAAGAATGAACGATATATTTATAATAAAATATTTCCTTTCACAAATCTGACCCAAAAGTGTAATTAACATTACTATTAAACTCAAAAACAAAATGACATTTGCGGAACTGAAATTAGAACTCAGGGTAGGAAACATAACAATAAATTTTCATGATTTTAAAAGAAAAAGAATTTGCGCATAGTTATTAGAGATCATGAATAACGGGAAAGGTCAATTAAAAAAAATACTTCAACTTATAAATCACCCTGTTTTACCTACCTAAAATGCGTTGGGAACATCTCCAAAGTAATTGTCATAGCCATCACGCCTGTAAGATCCAGGCAGGAAATATACACGCTGAATAATGATATCAAAACCGCGGAATTCGGAGCAAAATATAATCCTATTGCAGATACTGACGCAGCTGCTGTCAAAACTCCTAAAATATTTAGTGTCAAAGTTAAAAAAAAAAACAATTAGATTGCACCACATACTTTGATTACTATACGAGGCAAGAGAGAGATCCGACACGCCCAACATAAAGCGCGGCCATTTTGAACCCTGTGACACAGTTTACAGCTAAAGAATCAGATCGCTCACTGTGCGTCGGCACTTTGGATCTCAATGTTTCAGTTTATACACTGTGCAACTCGGATAATACAATATATGACAACCGCCTATAATAAAACAGTAGTCTTCTGCGTATCCTGAATTTGTATCCCTGGAGTGGATGTTATTTTGGAACTTTCAACTGGTCCGAGTGAGCTAACTGATTCTTTAGCAATAAACTGTGACTTCAAAAATAATATTCACTGACACTGACAGCAGCAAGCAAAATATCAGATGCGTTTTAATCATCCGCTTCTGCTTCCGGAATTGTCGGTTTAGGGTGAGATTACAGAACGTCTGCAACTTTGCAGATCTGCAAATATGGCGGCAACTTTGAAAATCTTGCAAATATGACTGACTTACACATGCAAGTATCAAGTTTTCGTATTCCAAATTTGGGTTTAGTGTTGTTGGGGGTAATAAACCACAATAAATATTGCGAATTTGCAGATATTTTTTAGAATACTTGTGTTTGTAAGTCCGCCCTATTTGCAGATCCGCAAAGTTGCAGATCTGCAAAGTTGCAGATGTTCTGTAATACCACCCTTAGTCGTTTTAACCTGTCAGATTAAAACAAGAAAACTGACAATTCCGAAGCAGAAGCGGATGATTAAAACGCACCTATTAAAAATATTGCGCCAAGATGTAGGCAACACGTAATAAGGGTTCAAAATGGCGGAGTTTTCTATCTCCTTTTAAAAGGCACTCAGAAAGCTGCGCAGTGCGACCATTCTCCGTATAGTAAAAGAAAATCAAAGTATGTGGATTGCATGGACGTGTTATTTTTTAAGATATTTGAACACGCATAGGCAACGAATCGTCAACATCACAAACACTCGTTCTTGAACAACACGATTACTGTTTTTTAATTTGTTTTTAGTATTAATAGGTCAATCATTAATGATAATCAATTCAAAATAATTACAGAAGTTTTCAAACTTTTTTGTAATACTTATTAAATTGTAATAATTATAAATTTAATTTTGCAACTTTTTCTGAGGTCCGGAACATAATAATTGCAAAACTGCTGCAAACTTGAAGCAATATATTTTATTCTATTAATTTTAACATTATACCAGATTTGCTTTTTTTTAAAGTCTGCAACATAATTTTTTTGTAAAATAACGTTTTTGATTACATCATAGGTAAAATAATTACAAAAGTGCTGCAAACCGATGACATAACTCATACAAGCTGTTATAATTAAAACTACCTTTTGAAAATAGGCTTTAATAAGCAAAATTGAGCAGGATAAAATTGACAGTGATTGAAATTAACATAGATACAATAAACAAGTACACATAGGGTGGTACGTTAAGAAAATACACCAAATTCTCCCCAGGTTCATTTTTGAACATAATCTTCAAAATATTTTGGCGGTCGCCTTATTCTTGTACTTCGCTGAATAAGGACCTCTTTAGTTAGATCGGAATCAGATGCACTTTCGTCGAAATTTTGACTAGATTGAGGTTCAATAAGATCTTTTGTTTCAGGAGGAATTTGGTGAGGTATTTCAAGACATTTTTCATTTTCTACTGGACGATTTCGGGTATTATTTTGTTGAAGTTGATGCTCTGGCAAATTTTGAGAATCAAAAAGAGAATTATCTCCAATTTGAGAATCAAAAAAAGATATATCTACACGGGGTGCTAAATGCTCTAATGATACTGTGGCTTCTCTTCTATCAATGTGACGAACACGCGCATATTCAGGGTTGGCTTCAATTAGTTTAACTTCCTCAACGGACGGGTCATATTTCGAACATTTAACATTCTTCTTCATAAAAACTTTACCTGGAATTGTTATCCAAGATGGTATAGTTCTCCCATTTGAATGAAGAGCCTCTTATAAAATTGGGCTAGTGTATAATTGTCAGGCGTTTTTGTAGGTGGCCGTTTTTTCAGAAACAATTGCTGAATTGTTTACTTTTGCTTTGTCAAAATATTATTTAATTTCGTGGTTATAAAAATGCGTGTCGATAATTATACTCATATTCGTCATATTATGCTTTACCACTTTGAAAAAGGAAGGAAAGCAGCGCAGTCATTTCGTGACCTCAACGAACTTTTTGGTGAAGGAACAATAAGTAAAGGTGATTGTAGGGAATGGTTTGCCCGTTTCAAATCTGGCGATACTAGCTTGGAAGATAAGCCAGGAAGAGGTCGACTATCAGATTTCGATAACCAGGCACTTTTGGAAGCCGTAGAAAGGGACGAAAGTTTGACAACTTGAATTTTGGCAGAAGACTTCAATGTGGACCACTCAACCATCGTTCGTCGTCTAAAAAAGATGGGAAAGGTATGGAAAATGGCTGGTTGAGTCCTTCACGAAGTGTCCGAAAACAATAAAGCCGAACGTCTCCGAGTTTTTACTGATTTGCTGCAACGTAACGAACAAGCTCCGTTTTTGAAGAATCTTGTCACCGGAGATGAGTCATGGCTTCTCTTTAACAATGTCAAAAGAAAGAAGGTCTGAGTTTCGCCAAGGTGTTGCACCAAAACGAGTACCGAAAAACGTACACTGTAAAAAGGCAATGTGGTGTGTTTGGTGGGACAGAAGCGGAATTATCGATTGGGAAATCATTTCAAATTGGATTTGTTATTGGTGACGATGAGCGTCACGAACGGCGTATTCCAGACAAAAACGGCAAGCGGCAATTCAACGTCAACAGTAATGTCTATATGGCAGTGCGATTCTGATTAGTTGTTACGTTACGTCCCGTTTCTCTACCTACCGTTCGACAGGCACATCGGGTACCCTTTTCGGTACCGTTTAAAATTTGATTCTAATCATCTCTCGAGTAACGGCTACGAAAACTACGATAACGCATGGTGCAGCATGGTTTGTTTTGAAGGTTTAATTTAGAAAATATACCAGAGGCATGGCTTATTGAGTTTTTAGAATTAATAAAATAAGAAATAATAGTTATTGTACATAAATAGATATTTTAATGCTTTATTGTCAGTGTTCCAGTAGTCAATGTTTTATATGATTGGTATTACATCTATATCTTGAAGTAATTTTGTCCTCATTTTTGAGTACCTGGCATTTTATATTTCTGAATTTTAAACATTTCTTATTTATATTATTGTATAACTGTTTGTATTATAAATTGAGCCTATTCTGTAAATATTCAGTATAAAATAAAATAATAAATTATATTTCCTAAATAAATTAATGTATGCTGTATTTGGTTTTCTTCTGTAATATTAGGAAAAAATATTGTTTTTGAGTTTACTAATTTTTTTATAATATTAAAATAAAACATAACTCCTACAAAAAAAAAATACAATGAGTAATAATTAAAAATATGCCACTTGCAAAATGTTCGTGTTCACACATTATATTTAAAATTGTAGACAAATGTTCTGGATTATTTTAAAAACTCATTTTTTTAATTTCAACACAGAAATATCAAAATAAAGCATTTCTTAACCATACTTTTACTAATTTCACTCACGTTACGCTACCTCTTTAGGTCCCGAGTGAATCTGACAGCTATACTCGAGACATCTAGAACGTAAGTTGGAATTAGAATCGCTCAAATTGTAAACTCGGGACGTCACGTCCCGAAAACGTCAATCAGAATCGGGTAGTTGACCGCCTACACGCCGCAATCGAGACGAAAAGACCGCGCAAAAAACCATATCGTCCTCTTTCATGACAATGTGCGTCCACATGTTGAGCGCCGGGTTGTCGAAAGCATCGCCAATAAGGGTTGGGAACTGCTTCCACATCCGCCATATTTTCTCACAGAAGCGCCAACGGACTACCATGTCAATCGATCGCTGAAAAATTGGCTGGTGCAGAAATTTTTCGAAGATTTGGATAGCTTGGTGGCCGATGTCAAAGCATGGATTGCCACCAAGAACCGTAACTTTTTTGCCCGTGGAATCGACCGTCTTCCAAGTAAATGGGAATCAGTTATTGAAGTTGATGGTGACTATGCTCCGGAATAATGATTTAAAGATACTATTAGAGAATTTTTGTTTTTTTTTTTATTATATGCATCGCCCCAATTCTTGTTCCCACAGACGAAATAAAATTGTGAAAAGTTGTTTTCCAATAAGTCCATTCTCTAGCAGTTTTGGGGGAGTTTTGGTCTGTATTGAATTTCTCTGGTCTCAGAAGTTTATCAATTTTGCTTATTAAATTGTTATAATTAAAACTATCTTTTGAAAATAGGCTTTAATAAGCCAAATTGAGCTTGAAAAAATTGACAGTGTATAACATTAACATAGATATAATAAACAAGTATACATAGGGTATGAAAATACACCGTACCAGTTTTTGGAACAGCTATTCCAATTTGCAACCTTTTATTTTGCACGAAAATATATATTTTTTTAATAGCGAAATAATTGTTTATATTTTTATATTTCTCTAATTTTATCAAAAAAAATGCAAAATTTTTGAAAATTGGTCGGAAATATTAACATTTTTTTAACAATCTGAAAATTTGCAACATCAGACGAGGTCCGGAACATTGAAAAATTAACAAAAATCAACAATTCATACTTTTTACAATCGCAAAAAAATATGATAAGTATTGCAAATTTTAGAGAGCGAATTAAATAAATAAATGCATCTTTGCAACGCTCCAAGATTTGTGCAAATGATTGCTAATTGTCTATGGTCAATTTGACATTGTAAAATTAAAACAAATCTAGGGAAACAACTAAAAAATACATTTATAAGTAATATCGAATTTGCAACCTCTTACCTATCATGCAAATCGAAATGCAAATATTTTAATAATTTCATGTTTACTGCTTTACGGAGAAAACCATGGCGATATAATTTAATTTTATCTTTTAAAATCTGTATACACAGAAACTAAAAGAATGTACATTATAAAAATCCATGCAGGGCATAGAAGTGCGGATATATAAAAGTTTAAAAGTTAAAACTGAAGGTGAAGCCTAAATACAAAGCTAATTCCGAGAATAAAATAATATTTATCATTATTTTAAGGAATGCAAGCATAACCTTGTAAATGGAATTTCTAAGAAATAATAAAAACGCTAAATACCTACATACATTTTAAAATAGCTTCGGCACGGTCAGAGAAAAAGTTTCATAAGGACAACGTAAAGTTACACCAGGCCAATGTAGATGGACCAAATATTTGTATGTCTAAACATTGTGGTCTAGTGGCCTCAACAACATATTTTAAATGCTTTTATAAATGACTCATTATGCAATCTGAGTTTAATAAAGTATTTTTAACGTACATTTAGTAAGAAATGCCTATCGAGTATTTTAACATGCTTAAAGCATTATATGGTGATAAATGGTTCAGATTTACAAGATGTTAAGAATAATAACATCTGCATAATTTTAAAAGGTATTTTTCTAAGAAAAATCCTTGTATACTCGTTATATAGTTGTTTGCAGTTATCGGTTATTAAAAATACATAGGTAAAAAAATAAGTATTTAATCAATTATCAAAGCTGTCACTCTAGAGAGAACTATGAATAGATTTTTGTTTTTGGTATTGAAAAAGAAAACTGGGATCAAAACATGAAAACATAAATATGTATCCCAATTAGTTTAATATTTCTCTTTGTTAAAGATCTATAGGTATTTATTGAGAAAATCATTATAGAGGGTTGCATATTGATTATTGTTTTAAACAGTAAAATTGATATATTAAAGAGAAAGGACATTTGCAAAATTTATATTTCAAAATTTTAAATACAAATTAATGGGAAAAAATAGAAAAGCATTTTTTAATGGGATTAATAATTTTTAAACATTCATTCTCTTTTCTATGATAATTGCTTCAGCAACAATATAAAAGTTCCGGACCCTGGAATTGATTGAATATGGGGGCGTCCATTAATTACGTGAGGTATTTTTGAGGATTTTTTGACCCCCCCTTCCTGGTGAGATTTTGAAAGATTTTCTTCAACTCCCTCATCCCACCCCTAATCTCACGTGAAATTTTAAAAAATGTGTGTTTTGGGTGTAAATGGGTTGGATTATTAAAAAAAAAACAGAAACACAATATGTTCTATTACTTTTATTTAAGACTAGCAAAGACTAGTATTTGAGAACATTGCCGTAATATAAAATTTTTAGAAACATTTTTTACTTTAATTTAACCTTATTTTCAGGCAATTTTACACCGTTTTCTACTAGAAAAAAAATTACGTCATATTTACAAAGACACCCCTCTCCCCCAAGTGAGATTTGGAAAGATTTATCTTGATCCCCTTCCCCTTTGAACACCTGACGTATTTAAATTTAGTGGTATTTAAACTAGCCGATTATTATTACAAACTTTTGTAATTAATGTGAAATTTTCAAAAATTTTCTTTATTGACTGGCCTATAAGAGTAAATCGAACAGCATTTCCAATTCTTTCTGAGCCTTCATTTTTGAGAAATTTTCATGAAATACCAATAATAACTAAAGTTAGGGTGGATAAACCTTGATTTTTTATAAACCTTCAGAAAGTATTTATTTTGGTAATTTTTAGAAGGTTTAAAAAAACATTTTCGCGCGACATTCTTTATTAAACCTATGAACATTTGCTACTTTTTCTTTTAATAAATATTAGTAATTTTTAAATGGGAGAATTTCCCACCTTTTTTTCTTAAATCTCTCTGTATAGTACTGCCTTATCCTAGCACAAATTTAAGACTCGATATTTTCGAGACACAACATCGCGAAGAATCCCCAAGAGCACGCTTATAATAACAATTTAAACTAGAATATCCTCGCAATATTTCCGGGTAGGTACATAAAAAGCTGTATTAATTAGTAGTTGTAACAAAAATACTTACTCATAATGTTCTTTTTTCCCAACAAATTCACAAAAAATCCGGATATAATGAAAAAACCCATTCCAACCCCATTAATAATCATGGAATTGCTGTAGACGAATGAATTTTCTGTTGTCTAAAAATTAAAAAATTATTATTCCAGAATATTTGAATATAAATATGTTTTTGTACTGCCAGTTCTCTTAACGTTACCACCTTTAAGCTATGCAACCAATAATACACAAATGTAGCGGTTTTAAAATAAATGATTGGCTCACAAGCTCATATTTCAGGATTTTGTTCTATGCTACGATATGAGTCACCTTTAGCGTTTATCAAATTCAAGTTAATATTATGCCCGCATCGTAAATAGCAATGAATTTCATGACTGACAGTTTGAAATCTGCTGAATAAAGATAAACGGTGTTTGTTGGGTTGAACATAAATTCAAAAATGATTATAATATGAAATTTGATAATACTCCACCTGAACTGACAAATTATACAAATGGTTTAAGTAAAAACTTGCCTAACATAAATTATATTAAATATTTAATATTTTTAAGTTTTGTTGCTCTAGAGCGACAAAGATGTCACTTACTGTTAGTTCTCGGAAAATGCCGCGTTTAGCGGTAAGGGAGCGTTCAAGTATTACGTAACGCAATTTTTATATATTTTTAACCCCCCCTCCCCCCCATGTAACGCCCCCACCTAGTAAAACGTTACGTAACTACCAGGTGACTATTTTTACCTACAGTTCATCAAATTTCTAGAGGTGTTCGACGCCCAGACAGAGACCGCGCTACGTGTGACTAAGATAGCTATTGTACAGTCTGCTAAACAAGTTATTTTAAATAGTTTTTAATATTTTTAGGTAATTAAATTTTAAAAGTGTGGAATAGTTTAGGGATTAAATTGGTCTGATTGGACTTTCTTAGAATGTTTTTAAAAGCAGCTAAAGATAGTATGTAGAATTGAAAATAATTATTATGCCATAAAAGGTGTTTTGGAATTCCTTCAACCTTTTGAAATTGAGTCAGAAAATATAAATTTTATAGGATAGCGGAAAATACCTATAATTTTTTTGTAGGCCTTTGTAAATCGTGGAAATAGTTTATATTTTATTTCTACCTTATTAAGGAAAATGGTACCTATTATTAATAACGGTTGTTTCTGAAACATTACTAAAATTTTCGAAATTTTGTTTTTCTACAAAATAATAAACTATACTATTTAGAAAAAAATTTATTTCTCTTATAATTTTATAAAAAATAACAGGGGAATATTTACATTTCTTGATCTATTAAACAAAACGATAAATTATCTCGACGAATGACACCATGTTCTAGTACGGAAGCTAGCTTTACATTTTTGTTAGTGGTTTCATGGGTTTCATATCAATTTTTTGTAATTGTAGTTTACACGTACATATACCTCTTAACACTTGTTTGCTTTATTAAAAAAGTGTGTTGTTGTGATTTACGTCGCAATAAGTCAAAAACAACTTGAAAGCCCATATAAAATCAAAACGGAGAAACGGAAAAAAATTGAGCCTGTAAATGAACACAACTCAGAAACAAAAATAGCTATCTAACAATAAAAAAATAAAATTTGATTCTTGTGCAGCTTCATCTATATCATTAACTGTTTTTGGTTTTTTAATGGTTTTTCTTGGTGATGAAAATTCCGATATCTCACGGTTATCGATTCTTTTTTTCTCTCCAGAAATGCGGACGACAGTGTTTTTATATACTCCTGTGGCTGCAGCAACACGATCATTTACATTTTTAAATGGTATTGAAGGTGAATTAAAGTTTCCTTCTCTTCTCATAAACTCTATAACATTGGCTATTATTTCGCGAGATTGACTGTTAATCACGCGGCCTCTTAATTTGCTATTAAACTCTATACTTAGGTTCTATTAAACTGTAATGAGCAAAAAACACAAACGAAAATAAAAGAAATGTTTTAGCGAAATTTACATCTGACATTTACGTCTGAATGAAATAGTGAAATACTTGATGCGCAGAGTGTACTTTCATTGCGTAAATCCGTCGGGATGCCTGTCAGTAGTGCTTTCTCTGTCTAGCCGTCGAAAGCCTCTAGAAATTTGATGAACTGTAAAAATCACAATTATGTCACTCTATTTGAAATTTTGAGAAAAAAAATGTTTTAAAAAATGCCTGTGAGAATCTCTCTAAGCGTCTTTTCTGAAGGGTTAAAAAATAATAATGGTACGTAAAACCCCCCTTCCCCTAAATTCGTTACGTAATACTTGAACGCTCCCTAAGATTTCAAATGGCAAAATACTACTTTGGTTTGTAATCGTAGAAAAGGCATTTACAGTGTTTATGGAGGAAAGATAACTTACCACATGACAAGTCTCATTCTCAGACCCGGTCTTATTTTCCGTCAAAATACTCATGATGCCGCAAACATTTGTGCTGGATCCATTGTGGGCTTGCTGGTAATCATTGGCTAGTTGCAAGATTTGAGGCACCCACAATTTTATGGTGTGCAATCTAGAATCAAAAACTGTACGGGCTAGAATACTTCAAGCGTGAACACACATTTATTATAACAGTGAATTACTTTATAAAAGTAGAGATAAAATGTAACTTGGTAATTAAGATTTATTTTTAATAATTCACCTCTTCGATCATATAATCATGAGATAAATTATCTTGCCCGCTTTTTGTCTTCGATATGAAGTTTAATACAGTGTCCCAGCTACACTTCACATTAGTGCAAGATGAATGATTTCAATAGTTTTTAAAAGTCGATAAAGTACCTACCTAATAATTTTATTATCCATACATTTTTAGCAACATTAATAAAACCTAATTTTTAAATTGCTCGTACATTAAAAGAAGACTTATAAAATTGTACAATAATATGTTATTTATAAACATTTATAGTAACCCCTTTTCGATTAGAGTTCCCCGTCCAACCTGTTCATCGTGGTTCCAAGGTTCCATCATGACAGGTGTTCCTTGTTCCATAGTTTCTTGAAACCATGCTACTATAATGGTTTCACTTCTACCCGTTACCACCGTATCTTCCTGTACAGCTACTGGTACGGTACTGTCCCCATATATATGTACGAATATCTCTTCGGTACCAACTGGAAGCTATGTAAGTTAATTACGTCTATTCCTAGTATAACATCTTCTTCGATATCAGCGACAATTACAGTATAAGTGAACTTTTCTGTACCAATTCCTAATTGAACCTGCATTTCTCCATGGATGTTGGGACACTTTCACTTGTGGCAGTCCGCAGTCGCAACCTTGATGGTTAAAGTCTCTTGCGGGTATTTGTGGTTGTTGGTCGTATAATGCTCCTGGTTGCTCCAGTATCCACCAACTTTTTACCACTTACTTCGCGACATTTCAAAGAGTCTATCAGTATGAGAGGGTATTTGGAACGATTTTGGGTCGAAGATGTCCCCTCTAGGCCGACCCGCTCTAGTTTTCCTGCAGCGTTTCCCTAAGACGTTTTCACGAACTGCGTACATGTCCCAGTTCACTGCAATTCCAGCACCTGATGGTCTTTGTCTTCATCGTTTTATCAGTAAGGCTCTTCATCATGTTAACCAATTGGTCGAGTTTATCTTCCTCTTATTCTTCTTTTACAGTCCTCATTTTACTACATCCACCAGAAGCATGCGTAGCTGCCTTATACTCAAAAGCAATATTTTATGACGGGCTAAGCGGAGTGTTTTCTGCATCTCGTGGTGACACAGTCCATCAACAAATGTTTGGACTGCCAAAGATTGCATCATGTTTTCTGGAGCTGATGGTTAGGCAAATCGCACTAACCTGGCAATATCTACTTTATATTCTTGAAGGGTTTCATCTCGTTTCATTCTTTGTCTGTGATTAATATAACTGTATTATAAGTGTTCGTGGTCTCTTTTTGAGTTGTTCAAAATCATCTGTTTCTTCCACTGGTATAGTCTGAAGGACATCTAAAGCTTCCCCTCGAAGGGTGCTGGTCAAATTTATCGCCTTTTCTTTCAGACCATTCGTTTGCCCTGGCAGCTGTTTCGAACTATTTAAGGTAATTGGTCCATGACACTTTTCCGTTGAAAGTTGGGACTTTAACACGAGCAGAGTTTACAGTTCCTGCCAATGTTAACTTCGAACCAAACTCATGGTACTTTATTTCACCGTTCTTGGTATGTTCCAGTTCTTCTATCCTCTTTTCCTTTTATTTTATTTTCTCCTCGATGGAAGACATTATTTTCTCCTCAAAAGAAAAAATTTCATTTATTATAGAAGATCTTTTGTTTTCCAAGTAGGAAGAAACTTCATCTTTTAAAGAAGAGATATCAGAAGAAACTTTAGTTTCTAAAGAAGAGATTTCATTTTTCACGGAAGACATATCAGAAGACTCATACTAAGGAAGAAATATCATTTTTAATAGAGGAAACATCAGAAAAACTTTAGTTTCTAATGAAGACTTGTCAGAAGAAATATCGGTTTTCATAATTGACATTTGACTTTCTAATGAAGAAATTATAGAAGACGCTTCATCCGACAATAGAAACGTTTCCGGATCCAAACCTTCGCTTTCCATTGCTTTTTTAATTCTGCCATCTTTGTTTTCTTCTCTGTCGTCTCCACATCATCTAATTCTCAACGCAAGTCAGCCACTTTAAATCTTGCAGTTTTTAGCTATTTTGTTCACTATTTATTTACAGTTCTGCTCCTAACACCAGTGTAACGATTGTTTCATTTAAAAATTATGTATTTATTTAAAACAGTTAATTTGTTTAAAATAGTTTAGAATTTATTTATAACGTTTTAGTTAATTTATTTAATACTTAAGCACTATTATAATTAACAATTCTAATTTATTTATTACAATTTATCCTTACTATACAGCACTTATATTGAAACTTAACGTCTACCGAAAAAATCGCGCTATTTATATAAAGGCAGCTTTGCTCTAGTAGATTCTGGGCGGTCTAGAATCTCTAGAAATTCTTCCTCTGTGACTCAACCGGTGCGCAACGATATCTCTGGTATCGAAACATAGACGAAGTAGCGGCTTGTAACAGTGAGAGGACCAGGGTCGGCTTTAGGTGTTTGCACGACAATAGGGTTCAAAGTTGGAAGGCAAATTACATTCCACCTGGGTTCCCACCTCGGCTAGTGCAATAGTTTGTACCTCAGTCAATTCTATAAGCTGCTCGTGATATTATTACATATTTTTAAACATTCTACTTGTAATATAATATCTTGTATTTTTTATATTTATGTTCATTGTTTTTACATATTAAAGTTTACACATTTGTACAATATAATTTTTTGATTAGAATTTTATATTCAACAATTTTCTTTAATACAATTTTTATTAAAGATTCTAGAGATATTATTTTCATTAGTAGACGCAAAATATCTAGTGATTATAGTATGATATATGATCGAAGATGTTCATAGTCAGATTTTGGTACCACGATTAAAGTCATATCAACAAAATAAAAAAAATCTTACCCAGTTAAGATAGTCATGGCTGCAGTACATGCCAATGCCAGTCTGTAAATATAGGGTGGTAAAAACACAGGAGAGATTCTTGCCCAACCTTTGCTGATGAATTCTTTAACACTTTTATCTTTAACTGTGTCTTCGCCTTTTAACTCGCTGATCAGTTGCTTTACCTGAAAAAAATCCACTAATATACAAGGTGAACCAAAGTTGTCGAACAATACATCTAAAATGTTCATTCACCGTATAAAAATATAATTGATGGAAATCATTGTTGCCTTTATTAATAACTTACAGGGAAATCTGTTTTCGGTCTTCCTGAGTTCATGCTGTAAACACTTTGGAACACTTTGAGGGCGTCTTCGTTTCTACCGATGCTCATCAGGAATTTTGGACTTTCTGGCATGAATGTGAACAGTATTGAAGCTGATAAAGGTGAGCAGGCGCAACATAACAGAAATAGATTCCAGGAATGTATATCTAAAAAAAATATATACATATAGCTTGGTTTACAAATGTAGAAAAATAATCAAAATTTATTCAAAATCATCCCAGTAAACAGTATTAATTTAGTTGTACATAAAATCTCCAGATTCTGTTTATATATGAAATTTTTAGCATTCCATAGGTTTTTTTGGATTTTATGTTATAGATGGAATGTCAAAAATTATGAACTTTTTAGGTTCAGGATAAACAAAATTAAAACTAAATATAAAAAAATATTAGTGACAACTATATTTCATTTATACAAAATAACAATAAGTATTAGTAAGTATATTAGTTTAGAATACATAACTACTCTTAAGCTACTCTTGAGCTAAGTATACTTTTACTTACACTACAGTAGTACAATAAAATAATATAACTCTCAGTTACAAACTAAACCTAGATTGCAAAATAATTTTCAAAATTCGAAAACAAATCTCAGAAATCCCCCTACGAATTATTAAGACCGACCCCGAACCCCAAATTTGAAAACAAATACTTGGAAATTTGAAAAAAAGCCTGTCGCTACCGGGATTCGAATCCAGGCATCTTTGTTTCAAATCTCCAAGTATTTGGTTTCACCTTTGGGGTTCGAAGATGGTCTTAATAATTCGTGGAGTGAATTTTGAGATTTGTTTTAAAATACACTTGATGTTCTTTCAGAAAAAATGTATTTATACCTTAATAGATTTCATTTATGAATCGTCCTGGGCCCATAACCTGATGAACCTATTAGATTCTGGACAACGAAAACTCAAAATTATTATGGAGAAATGTTCGATTTTTCATTTATAAAAAATAATGACCTTTGTTTTTTTTTATTTAGGTACGTACTAAGTTTTAGTAAGTATATTAGTTTAGAATACATAAGTACTCTTGACAAGAAACACTGACACATAAATTATCTATTGTGCAGCCTTTTGTGGCTAAGGTACTAAGAAAATGGTCTTGATATCTATAATTATCCTTGGAATCCTATCTTTCTCAGAAATTTTAAGATTTGGAGTCGCTTCAAGGTAAGTAGATCATCATCTACTATTTTGTAAGCTCCCTATAGTGCTCTTGAATTATGTAATGACACACATTCAATCAGAATGAGAATTAAGGTGTCGTCCTCCTCTTCATAGAATATTTAATTTTTCCTAATTTTTTACATTTTTCTAGGACATTTTATTTTTCCTGATACCCTGATATAGGAGTTAGTTATTCTCCTTTTCAGGGTGGTGTTCCCTGATTACAATAGTAACCTAGTCATTTTTCCTGACCCGTGGGACCTGTGTGGCAGGTTTTGTTCCCAAAATAATATCGTCAATTTTGCTATTTTCAACCCCATATATGAACAACTCCATAGTATAAGGTGGGAAATATGATTTAGGGAAACCACGAAAACCTAAATGAAAATACTGTGCAATAATATGATATGGCTAAGATCCTGGAGTAAAGCAGTAAGTGGGAGGTCTTGGGAATCTAAGAGTAGTCCTAAGTTAGGTTGTGGGAGTTTTCTTTTCGGTTTTCGAAAGAGTGGGAGGCGGCGCAAACGCCAAGGGGTTTGAATAATGTTTTAGGAGTGTGTATTTGAGTATTTCAGAGTGCGAGAAAAGTATTGTTTCTTGAGGGTTTGGAAACGTGTGAGAACGGGGGTGCTGGAGATGTTTTCGAAAACTTATCCGCAGAAAGAGCAAAAAGGAAGAAATTGACATCGTCGAAGTATACGTCTCTCGAGTGTAGTGAATTTATGGGCAAGACGTGCTGAAAGTACGCCGTAAGGTACTGCTCTGTACTCGGCAATGGGGCGGATAAAAGAATTATAAGTGTGACTTAAAGGATTTCATCCCCCAATTTGTCCACACAAAGCACCAAGGAGACTGGCTCGAGAGAGCGTTGACATCAGAAGACCAGTTGAGTATACGAGAAAATCGCACTACCAAATAGTCATCTTTCGTCTGTTGAGCGAGATTTACATTGACATATTGGGTGGCTCTTTTCGAGTTCGGATGATAAATTGTGTTTTATGTGAATTGAGTGAGACCCTCCATTTGCTATATCACAGAGAATACTGGTTTAGCAGATTTTGAGTTCGAGTACCTATTTGGTCAGAATCTTTGGCTACAGAAAGCAGAGCAGTATCGTTAGCGTAGAAAAGGCACTTAGATGATGGGTGGTTTGGAGGTGGAATGTCGTGGGTGTATATGAGGTATACGAGAGGAGCCAGGATGGAGCCCTGTGGTACTCTAGCAAGTGGGATGAATAAGTCTGACAGGGCGTTACCTACTTCGACCGTAATTATTTTTTCAGCGAGGTATGAGTGAAATGGTTTGGAGATACTGAGGGCAGACCTATGTTCATGAGCTTTTTAGCTAGTCCAGTGTGGCAGACTTGGTCAAAGGCTTTTTGAACATATAGAACATCTAGGAGTTTACTGCAGTGGCCGCAGTAGTGTGAAGAGGGGAGATTGCGTCATGTGTGGACTGATGAGATCTGAAACCATGTTGGGATTATATTTTGTTTTTGACAAAAGTTCCCGATTCTTTCCTTGAGCAGAAGTTCAAGGAGTTTACCTAGTACGGATAGTCCAAGAATATTAAGGTATTCTTTAAGTAGGCAATTCCTGGTAAGGATTTCGTTATGTAGCCTGTTCTTAGGTATGTTCCAACAATGATCAGGAATCAGTCACTGACATCAGGATTCTGCGCAGTTGAATATTTGGACCGCCCAATTTGCTTAGAAAAATACAGGCTTTCGATCTTTCTTCGTTATAGTAACCCAGAAGGATCTTATCCCCAACATATCGTTCCAGTTATCGATTCTCCAGTTCTTTTTTAATCTCTCTTAATATTGTGTTTTTTCTGATAACGTAGATATTCAGACGTACCACAAAGAGTATTTGATTCCTATTAACTGTATTATGCTTATTAAGCTCATTCAGTTTTTTTAGGCTCCTCCAGACCATTTTTGAGCTGATTACATTAGTGATCAGCGCTTTATCTGCTTAGTTATCAGACATAATGATAATCTCTTACCTGCTTAAATTAGAGACACCTTCTGTGCGTCACAAAATTTCAGAATTACCCACATAACTTTTGGTGTCAAATATTTTACCGACGTCCTATAAAACTAGAATAGATCATTATTCTTTATTTGTCGCTCAACATATGCCATCATTTTTTTTAATCAGGAAACCCATCTCTAATGTGTGTAAAAAATTCATAATTTTAAGCACGATACTCATTCAACCGGCAGATGAAAGATTGCGAAGAATTAATAGACCTGTCCAAGTCTCTATTTTTATTACCTTTACGTATAGAATATCTTAAATTTTCAACACTCTCTCCCAAAGAAGGATATAGAAAATCAATGCTATTGGCACAGCTATGGAATAGACAGAAATAGAACATACTTGCTATCCCACTACCGGTAGAGGTGTAACTATGCATCCAATTGCGGCAGGAAGATAGATGAAAGGCAAGCTAGTCTCTTTTTCCTTTTACTCCGCTGGATGAATTTGGTTAACATATTGTATGTATATTTTCGCGCTTAAGTAAGTACTTACTGAGTGATCCGAATATGGTTATGCTGAAAGCTGTAGGCAGTACCAACCAAGCGGCTCCTGATAACAATAAAAATCCTAAAGCATAAGTGACTCCTCTAATAAGCTGTACTCTAGCTCTATATTCAGACGAATGGAACTCTGTTAAATATGTAGTTGTTGCCGAAAATGGACCATTAAACCTAAAAAAAATAGGAAATAATCAGAAGAAATACGACTTAGTATCTCTCATATTTTACTAGATCATTAACACAAATTTAACCAGAGGAGAGATACGGAGCAACATTATTCAATGCAGCTGTAGAAAGAATAATAAAAGAGTGTAAAATCAATGGATCTATCTGTGTTATCGAATGGTACCAAATTAAAGCTTAATATGAAGGCGATACAGCCGGTAGTAGCTCAAAACAGAAGCAGCCTAGAGAAGGCTGTGACGAATTAATTCATTAGATCACAGAATTATAAGTAAGTAATCTTACTTATTTTGACCACAGAAATAAAGCAAGTAATGTCACTCATTTAATACAAAATTTTCCTATCACAATCTTTAGTTTAAAAACAGATTGTTTCTTGAGTATTCTTGGTCTGTAGTTTCACATAAAAATATATTTTAATTTTTTTTCTTGGTTTTGTTTTCACTTTGAGGTGTTTAGGTATGTAATACTGAATTTTCTTTCGTATGTCCAATCTTACTTACACAAATCCACAAAAAAATTTGGCTATCATCATTTGCAGAACGCTCGTCGAAGAAGCCGCTGCAATGGAACATAAAAAGTGTACAAAGTAACCGTAGATGATTAACTTCTTTCGGCCAAATGTGTCGCAGATGATTCCAAAAAACGGACCACTTGATATCATGCCTACAAAAAATATGGGATCAGTTACAGGCAATTACAATCAATTCATAGTTTATACAGATTCGCTGAAAAATGTTCATTTTAGACAGCAGTTTATATTTAAAAACATAGAGAGGATCATTGTTCTACATGTAATTTTTTAAATGTTCTCAAATTCTAAAAATGTATGCAGTTGCTGGTATGATAAGCAGACAAAAGTCAATTCAACTTGATTTTGAACATTCGCGACTACCAAAGTATCACTATATAGTATAGGGTGTTTTTAAAATACATGTACATATGATGTCCAAAAACGAACGTCAGTTATTTTATCGTGAAACGTGTAACTTACCTGCATAAGTGACTGCATTTAACAAGCCTTTTTGCGCCAAGGTCAGTTCAAGGTCGCATTCTGCTACTGGTAGGACATAGGAGAGCGCCATTTGCTCGCATGCTTGTGAAAATGAGGAAGGTATGATAGAAAACAATAAAATTATGTTGAACTTTCCGAATCCAGTTGCTACGATGGCTTCTTCGAAATTTGCTTTATCTTAAAAATAAGTTTCAATATGTTAATATTTAATGCGGTTGATACTGCTTACGAACAACAAAATGGGTATAGTGACAATGAAAAAAGTAACAAATCCTATACAGAAAGTGAAGCTAATGATTAGAGTTGTCGAAGCTAGTCACATTGATGAATAAAAACAAGCTCGCCTGTGGAATACCAGTTTTGGTTCCACTGACAATTATTTCTAACCCACGATATACCCACATAAAGATAGGATATTGCGCATCGTGGGCAGTCCTTATTTTGACGTGCAAATGAAAATCACTCTGTGAGTGACCTCATGCTATGCTATGAGATCACTCACAGAGTGATTTCCGGATAGATGGATAGGAAGAGGAGAACCATGGTCAACCAAATTTCTGCGTGTATTAATAAATGCGCGGTAGTCAAGTACGAGGGTTTATATTTCGGGATTGGATAACCCTAGTATTGCAAACTGGCAACTGACAGCTCTGTCGTAAAGTTTGACATTTTTAAAGTTATGCATACTCAGAACGTTTTGACATACGAGCGCTATTTGTGTTGTTTTTATACAGTAACTTAAAAGATTCATCTCGGCCAAAAAAATGGAATTAAATCGTGAACATTTTCGTGCGATTATTTTTTACAACTTTCGACGTGGATTAACTCAGCAACAGTGCATCGATGAACCTAATTCAATTTTTGGCGATGAAGCTTTATCAAAGAACAGTGTTTATCGATGGTATGATGAATTCAATCGAGGTCGTAGGTCGCTCCAAGACGAATTTCGTGAAGGTCGTCCAAAATCATTTGTTGTTCCGGAAACCATTGATGCTGTGCGCGAACTGATATTGAAAGATCGTCGTTTGACCTATCTTGAGATTAAGACAACCTTAGGCATTAGTGGGACCAACATACATTCAATATTGCATGAACAATTGACTGTCAAAAAAATCTGTTTGCTTTAGATTCCACACAATTTGTCAATCGTTCAAAAAAAGGCTCGTGTCGATTGGTCGAAAGAAATTCTCAAAAAATACGATCGCGGTGATTCGAAACACGTCTATGACATAGTGACAGGTAACGAATCGTAGATTTACGCGTATGAGCCCGAAAATAAGCAGCAGTCGACTGTATGGATGTTTCAAGATGAGCCAAATCCAACAAAAGTTTTTCGCGCACGAAGCACTTTCAAGCAAATGGTCGCCTGTTTTTTTGAAAAAACTGGACATGTCGCAACCGTACCACTAGAACAACGCAGAACGGTCAATTCTGAGTAGTACACAACCATTTGTTTGCCAGTTGTCTTCCAAGAAATGAGGAAATCCAACCGCCGAAGACGGTTCATCACGACAATGCGAGCTCTCACACATCGGCTCAAACAACTGCATTTTTGAGCACTTAAAACGTCTATGTGATGAGTCATCCACCGTATAGTCCTGACTTGGCACCGAATGACTTCTTTTTATTCCGGTACGTTAAAAATAAACTGAGATGTCAACGTTTTTCGACATCTGAAGAAGCGGCTGATGCATTTAGAATGCATGATTTAGAGATACCTCAATCAGAGTGGCAAACGTGCTTCGACAATTGGTTTAAACGCATGCAGAAGTGTATAGATCTTCATGGAGAATATTTTAAAAAACAATAAAGCGATTTTCGATGATTGATATTTGTTGCTGTTCTCTAATCCCAAAATATTAAAGGCAACCCTCGAATTCTTCGAACAGGAAATCGTCTACGGTATTGAATATTTGCCAATTCTCTATTTGAAAATCTCTCCATTTATAAAAAGTAGCTTTCTTTTACACAAAGAAAGCACAAATAATTATATAATTGTCAGCCAATTTTTGTTTATTATAACATTTTAAAAAATTTAATAGTAGCTACTGTATTTGTATTCTAGGCCTACTAATTATTACTTAGGGCATTTTTACCTTTAGCCCCCCTCCCCCCTAATTTACCCACCTGTGTGGAGTTTATTCCATTAAATAGAGCGTAAAAAGTTTAGCATTTGCACCAAATTTCACTTAGTTATCTTTAAACGTTTAGAAAATATTTACAAAAATGTGTCATCAGCACTTCACTTTTAACACCCTGTATCTTGGAAACAAAACGTTTCCAGACCTATGATTATCTGAACTTTTACTCCTATTTTACTATATAGATTACGCTATTAAAATATGACCGTCTAATTTCGTGACACTCTGTATATGCTTTAGGAACTAACTGTATATGCTTACCTATAACCACTGGCAAAGTATTTCTTCGTTCTTTCTTCAATTGGCCACTATCTTCAATTTCTTTCATTGCACCCATTTTCCGCAACCTCTTATCAAAATTACGTGATTTAATTATTGTTAACTATACATTAACATCGACCGTTGTGAAATTATTCTTATCTAGTGAATAGTGAATAAAATTTTAACATTTAAACATAATTGGGTATTAAATAAATAAATTCGCATTACTTAAAACTTAGTTTTGGTAGTTTAATCACTTTTTGTCTTTTGTCAATATTTGAAAAATTAGGTGATTTAACACAATGGCTGGAAACTTTTTTTAACTATAATGAGCAGTGACGCAGAATGAATATTATGATATTAGAATATGAATCCAAATGGTGTTGAAATTTTAAAATAAAAAATAATAATTTATCATAAGTCACACACGACTTTTTTACAAATTTACTGGACAATAAGAAACTAAATTTTATAATATTTATCCAGTGATGGTCTATCAGGGCTGGTAGCTACATTTACCGGTCTCTTTTTTTGGCTACTTGAGAATTATATTTTTTAAATATCTGACCTGTAGTTGGGTTTAGCCTTATTCCAGGCATTAGCTGTTGGCGGGGGTGCGGGGATGTATTTTCGGGGTTGGGCTTGGGAGAGTTTCCTCTCTTCCATCCAGAGTATCTATTCTTGAATCTCAGGGAGTAGAAATTTTAAGGGAAGAATGAGACAAAAATACAAATTTTGTGCGTTGCAGATAAAGAGGAATGACCGGTTTTCTATTCCCTCGAATTCAAGAATAGCTACCCTGGGGGCTCTGTCGGTGTATGATTTACTCTGGGTATAGTTAGCGAGGTGGTCACCCATGCAATTTGCACAGGTAGCAGGAGTTTCCCTCGTTTTGATGCAGGTCCTGATGAGGTGATCGCCGGCGCATTTTAAACATTTCGGCGGTCTATCGCAATTAGAGGTGGCATGTCCCCATGCCTCGCACCGGTGGCACTGTATGATGCTCCTGGTTGATTTTTTCAGCCCCCATATATCACGTGTGTACTCGACTGCCCTCACGTTTTTGTTGAGGTAGTCGAGTGTTATAACCGGATCGGTTACCACTAAAAATTGGGGTCGTCATTTTGAAAATTTCTTTAAGTTTAATCTCATAGGATGCGATTAAATCTTCCTCAATGGCTTCTCTTTCTGTCCCATTAGCCAGGCCTCTTAGGACAAATGCGTGGGTTTTCTCAGATTTACTTGTGTAAGTGTGGTGGGGAATTTTTGCTTATTGAATT